CGCGCGCAAAAGCCATAGTACTCGTTTTTGGCTCTAGTTGCAGGGCTCTGTAAATATTATAAATAACAGAGGTATAGCTCCGGGAGTCGAAACGTTTTTTTAACAAATTTGATGATCTTTTTGGATTTTTTTTAAAATTCGAAAAGTCTGAATAATTTTCGAGACATTAAAAAACCAAACCTCAATTTTTTTCTTACTAATTTGTTTATAACTTTTGCAATTTTTTCATTGCCTTTTCGAATTTTTTCTTAAACTTTCTACGTGACAATAAGAATCGAATGACACCTTGATCGTAATTTTCGGCGACTATAAAAAAATTTTATATTTTCAAGAAAAAAATGGCACATGTGAACTAGACTAATAGTCTTTAACAGATTTATGATTCAATTTATTTCTATGAACATTTATGTTGTTCCATCCCGCTTTCGATTTATTTTCAACTTTGGAAATGTATTCATTGTTTGCAATTTTTTTTTGGTGTTGTCACAAATAGTTTAATTTTCCATAATTCTATTTCCATGAGATATTGTACAGATATCTACAGAAAGAGGTTCCTCTGTGATTCGACAGCGTATGTACAATACAGTATGTTCAATTTAACGTAGACCAACGTAGATCAATGCTCTTGCGCTTTTTCATTGTCTTACAATTTTTCATCAATTTCTGGCAAAACTTAGGCTTCTCACCAGCGGCGGCTCGTCAGAGGAGGCAAGGGAGGCTTGGCCTCCTCATAAAATTTGAGGCTATTCATCGCAATAAATTAAAAGATATTGACAAATAATGATTATTTTTTTTCACTCACTCACTCAATACGTAGTACGTACCACACTGTATTCTGCATCAACAAAACTCAAACGCACCACCCATGAACGAATAACGAATAAACCATCATCCCGAAATAATAAATGCCATACGTTGCAAGGGAGCCAAGCCTCCGACCGCTTTAAAATACACAGGCTGCACGAGACCGATCCAAACAGCGACATACGTCCCGATTTGTAATTTCGGTTGCAGAAATTATAGCGCTAGAGGAGGCTAGCCTTCAGTTGGTCTCCGTTAGTGTACGACTGCGTTTGTTTTTTATTTAATCATTCGGACCGGATGCCGTGACGGACCGGGACGAAAAAATATTTCGGTAAATCGTTTTAGCGTTTCTTGATAATATTTGTTAATTGTGTATAAAACAGGCAGTATTGTATTATAGCAGTGCTTTTTGGTAATATTTTTAATGTGTTTTTAAAGTGTTTTCTTTCAATTTCACGGTGTTTTCAGGTTTTCACTTTTCCGTAAGTTTTTTTTCCATTTATTATGGATAAGTTGGACGAAATAAAAAATCTGACGATATAGTCGATTGGTTGCTGACAAATAATTTCAAGTCTTTATCTTATGATAATAAATTTTACATTATTAAAACTCTGGGAAAGCCTCAACCAAATTTGATTTCAATTAAAACGTCAGATAATCGACAAAATCGAGGATTCAATATTAGTTGGTACAATAAATGCGATTGGTTAACCGGCTCCATTAAACGAGAAAAACTTTTTTGTTGGCCCTGTGTTTCATTTTCCGTACAAACCGAATACCAAACGTTGTCTAAAATAGGATACTCCGATTTTAAAAATTTACCTCATTCTACAATCTAAGGAGCATATATTTTCGTCTTGTAAATTAAAATTGTGTAGCAAACAAAATATAACAACAGCTTTAGATACAGCTCAAAAAGACGCCATAATTTCTTTCAATAATCAGGTTAGGGAAAATCGGTTGAATTTAAAAAGACTTATCGATATTACGATTTATTTGGGTTTCCCAGAATTAGATTTTCGTGGACACGATGAAACCGAAGATTCGATTAATCGCGGCAATAACAAGGAACTTTCAATGTTATGGGGCAAATATGATTCAAAATTTGGCACTTTTTTAACGGTAGCGTTTTTTCGGGCACCTCAAAAACCATCCAAAATCAGCTTATAGACAGTGTGGCATGTATTATTGAGGAAAATATAAGCAAGGAGATTGAAAGTGCTTCTTTTTTTGCATGGGAAATTGATTAAACTACCTATATTATCTGTACATCACAACTTCCAATTGTTTTTAGATATGTCAAAGATGGTAATGTGATACCTAGAACGTTTTATGGGTTTTCATGATGTTTCATCTGGACGCACAGCTGACGATTTGCTTAATTTTTCAATTCGTACATGTGACACCTATAATTTTAGACAAAAGTTAATTGCGCAAACCTATGGTTTACCTAAATGGTTTACAAACTAAAATAAAGTCCATAGCTCCTCATGCACTTTTTACGCATTGTCATGCCCATGCCCTAACTTCAGTATTAACCAAAGCGTGCAACAACATAAAAAAAATCCGGCCTCCGGCGGGCTTTTCTGTGTGTATATAGCCTTTATGACTTTTGCCTTCCCTGTTCTCCAATGCACGAGCCGTCACTGCTTCTCACTGATTTTATTTACGTCCTCGTGTAAACCTTTCGAAAGATATCGAAGGAATTTCTTTAAGGAAAATGTGTTCACACTCTATTCGACGAGTCTGACGATCATAGTTCCTTGATCTCTTCTGTGAGATATTCCATTATAAAACCCTTCATACTAGAAATACTAGTGTTGATATCTTTCAAGTGAGGACCATTTTTTGAATAATCCAGCAACCATCTTGTGTCTGTAACTTTTGTAATATCATAGATTATGATAGTTTTGGATAATTCAGAAAACCTCTGAAAATAACTTCAGAACTTTTCAGTGGTATTTCTCCATAAATATGTTTAAGGACAATACAATGACGTTTCATTCGTATTGCTTCTCAGACCTGGCGCATAACTTCAACATAATATTTCCAAGACCATGTGGCAAGAACTCCTGATGCACTACGCCACGGTGCATAGGCCTACGCATTTCTCCCAATGAATATCATTTTTCTTAAAATAACTGTCCATAATCTGAAAAATACATTCTCAAGTAGTGTTGGTGGTGAATTCCTCACAAAGAAGCATTTCTTCTCGAATGTCTGTGTCGTCAATAAATCTGTTTATCTATCAGTTGCTTCATCAACTTGAAGGACAAAAATGGTTTTCTTTAATTTTTCCAACAACTGCTCACTCATATCTTCAGAAATGTCTGATACTCGCTTTGACACAGTGTCGTTAGAAAGAGGGATGGATTTTAGTAGCTGTGCAGAGCTATCTCCGAACATGTGGCAACTATATCAATAGCGGCTGGTAAGATAAGAGTTTCTCCTATTGTGTGTGGCTTTTTACATTTAGCAATTTTATGAGAAACCTTGAAAGACGCCATCAGAGCTTTGCAAGGCACAGGTTTTTTAGGTTTATTGACTAGCTCTGCATGTTTAGTTTCTAAATGCCTCCTTAACTTGGGTTTCATACTATCGGCTGCTAAGATAGCCATGCACACTACATATTGAGGCCTATCTTCATTATTAATTGTAGTTTTAGTAAATCCTAGTGACAAATAAATGTCGTCATACTTTCTTCTTGTTGTATCCCACACTGACTTCGAGGTACTTAAAGTTGACTCATGAGTTGTGTCCCACCACTGTTTGATATACATGTCAAAAATCTCTTCATTCTTAAACGTATTAATAAAACGAAGTGAATTTAGAGCAAACTGAAACTTCACAACGAACAGAATACCCTTGTGTTATACAAAACACCGAACATAACCTCAAAAGTTTTTGTTTAGAAGTGTCAAGCGCCATTTATCGTACAATCCGTTGCAAGCGCTACCGGCGCTAGCTTCTTACTCCTTGAACATAGAGGTCACTAAAACTGCTTCTTCCTTGACATTACAAGAATAAATATTTACACAAAAACCTTGTCTTTTTGATGACTATGGAAAAAAATATTCGGGTAGTTATATTATAATTTATATGTTTTTAAATAAGTTGGTTTTTAATTTTTCTTTCATCACGCCCCCCCATCTCCTCAAAAAGCTTCGCGCCCCCCCTGGGAGTCGCGCCTCACAGTTTGAGAACCTCCGATCTAGACAATAAAGGTGGCTGGTGTTCACTAGAAATTTTAGTTCGGAGAAAAAGATATTGAACCGCTTGGTGATGAATGAATCCCCGAAAACGATACTTTAATCCCAAACAAAACTGAGTTTAAAGGTACAATGAGGCAGGCACGACGTTAACGCTATTTCGACGTCTATCGGCTCTGGCGTAACCGATGGACGTCCACTGGTTGACAAGTCCGAGTGCTTTTCGATGTCCGCCGTGATCGAGTGATAAATATGATGTCTAATCGCTTCGAAATGATTATTTCTTTCATAATTTATCAGCAGAATTAATTGCCTCTGCGCGAAATGAAATGATGAATGTTAGGCGGAAAACATTGCAAATACAACATTGACTTTTTTGTAATTGGAGATTTGCGAAAAGGTGTCTTGATATACATGTCAGATGGCAAAGAATGATTCGAAAAAAGAGAGGATATCATTTCCATCAGGAAAAGCTGCAGGGCTAGCCGAAATTATCAATAAAAAATGCATTTTTCGGTAATATTCGATTATAATTGTATGAATTATTCCCTTTTAAATTACGGCCCTGGGGATGAATAAAAACACAATAACAACTTTCACGTCTCCCTATGTACCGTAGATTTTTTCGAGAGTTTTTTTTCATTTTTAGGTACCTATTCATATTTTTTCCATTGCTCTAAGCGTTTTCTACAATGAACTTCGAATAAGAAAACTTTTTGTGATTATCTGAAACATATCTACAAAAAAATATATGTGCTTTGATGAACAGAAAAAAAAAATGGTAGCAATAATAACATCCGAAACGAACACTATAATTATAATGAAAATTGAAATGATTGAAATGTTCGAATTGGAGTCCTTCCATTTCGAGACAAATAATGGGACAATAAGATGGTCTGCAAGATCACCAGATCTTACTATTTTGGACTATTTTCTATGAGGGACATTGAAAAATAGGATTTACGCTGGCAGAGAGATAGAACATGTGGAAGACTCGAGATTGAGGATTTTGAATGATTTCGCAACAATTCAGGAAATAAGTGTATTAAGGGCAATAAATAATATAAAAAACCGAGTTTAAAAATGTCTCGAAATGGAAGGACTCCAATTCGAACATTTATTGCGCCAATAATTTTTTTGGGTACCTATATAAATTACTTCATTTCAATTTTCATTACAATTATAGTGTTCGTTTCGGATGTTATTATTGCTATCATTTCTTTTTCTGCTTATTAAAACACATATAATTAAAAATTCAAAGATGGGGGTGGCCCAAGTCAGATGACACCGTGTATAAAAGATTCATGGATATATTCTGAGAGCCCACATCAAGTGCCAATAGCAAAATGTGGACAGATTTTTAATATGTCTGCGAATAAAGAAGATATAGGCAAAAAAATAATTTGGGATTTTTTGGTTTTTCCTGTATATCTCCAGAACCAAAAGAGCTATATTCGATTTCTTTACATCACTGAATAGATCTCTAAAATACACAACTTTGCCACAATTTAACCGACACTCTATCTCTTATCGTTTACGAGATCCCCATGTACAGAAATTGAATAGCCCTGTATATTGTATACAATTATTCGTACTACAACAGTATATGTCGATCGCACACTGAACACTAAGTCATGCAAAGAAAGGAGAGAGAGAAAAGTCTGACCGAAATACGGCTAGCGCCGTGGGCTAAGCTTGTCGCCCACTTGTCCGGCACAGCACAGCACGGCCCGTCCCGTCAAAATACGTATAGGATTGGAACAATGAAAATGAATGGACAACCGCCCACTAGCCCGGCACGGCACAGCTAAGAGCGTTCGCCGCCGGAAGGATTCCAGCCCACCGATCCAGTCCGGCAAATAACGGTAAGTGTTGTGACGGACTGGCCAAGTGAGCGCGTCGCCGGCCAGCGCTTGCCAGCATCAACTTGTCCAAATGTGTCTGGGAAGTTTCTGTCTTTCTGTTTTGCCATTCCATCAGTCCACAGCACAGTGTCAGACGGTACCTATGAAAATGGACGAGGAAAATTTGAGTTGATTGTTAAGGCAGGCTCTAGATCTAGAATATCCAGAAGTTCTGAAATTTTGCCTGCAGTCATTCGGAAATACTTGAAAAATTTCTCCTCGTCTTCTTTCAGATCGTTGAAAAGATGATGAAACTCTCCCAGATTTGCCTTCTTTTGATTAATGGGATGGACCCACATCCTTCTTTTTTGTGACTATTTTCTTCTACATTCAATAATGCGGCCACTATAATGACGATTTCTTCGTCAGAACTGCTAGTGATAGATATGTTTCTGTCACTGTTCGATGTCAACTGAAACTCCCTTGAAATCGAACAAACAACACTTCAGTATGCTGGTTGTAGTTGGATAGGTGGCCGACGCTACTACCCGTCGCCATCAGGCAACGGACAGCGCCGTGCTGTGCTGTGCCGGACAAGTGGGCAACAAGCTTTAGGGTGCGGAGAAAGTAAAGCCAGACAGAATAGCGCCGTTATGTAACGAAATGGTTTACCCTCCCATGAAAAGTTATCACTTCAAAAAAGACGTTTTCAGCGGAATATCTATATCAAGAGAATAATTATATAGTAACCAGTATTTAGTATGGATGTTCTCGAACTTTAACAACTATATAACTCATACAACAGTAAAAACTAGAGCAGTCGAGAATTTAAATATTAAAATGTAACTCTACAAGAAAACTCATACACAAAGATTCGAGTTTTAGTGTGGTCCGAAATACAGATATGACGAAGTTCTTGGCTTTCTACTCTGCTAAGGGAAAATTCTTCCCGGAACAGAAAAATTTTCAAGCAATAAATGGCTCTCGAAAGCTATCGTGTATGGTGTGTCAGTCCAGAATTTGGTTCGAGTGAAACTAGAAGTTTGAACATTTCAATTCTTGTTCATTGATAATATCATTTCATAGTAACTATGGATTAAAATGTATCTATACAAAATGCCGTTTCTAAAATTAACAATTCAATAGCTCTGTAGAATTTATTGTAGATAACATTCACCTTTCCAATTCTACTGCTCAAAAATTGTTGATCGGAGAGGGTTTCCTCAGAGAATCAAATTTTTATAGTATTCAGAATACACTCTGAGTTTTATGAACTAAATCAATATTTAATAGTTTTTTTGTGACGTACTCGTTTTAGATGCCACGTCCGCATCTCCAAATTCACCCCCGGGGGCCTATTTTCGGCGTTCAATTAAATTTTTGAATAATAAAGATAGAATTTCGGGAAGTGGGACTTTTTTCAAAATTTCTTACTCTTCAAGAATCTTTTCCTAAATTTCTTAATTCTTTATAGTTTTTGAAATATTTGCATAAACCTGAATACCTTACCTAAATTCGTTTCAGCACATTTTTCTAGATATCATTCTGGATCGAATGAGCCATCGCATGTATTTTTCCGATTATTATATCTTTTTTTCACCATTTTCAACTTGTGAACTAGACTTATATCATCGACTCCCTGATAAGTTCCAACCTCATACACAAGTCAATAAAAATATTCTCGGACAGTTAAGCGGCGTTGGAAGCTCTTGGCTCCTACAAAGCAACGTCTAAATTGGTACCAAATTGCCAAATACGACTCTCCTGGATAGGGAGACTTAACAGATTGTCTCTGGTCTGAATTCCTGGCCATACTGGCCTGGAAGACAATGAGGCTGCTGACTCCCTTGCAAAGAAGGGTGCTGCAAGCAGCTTCACCGGACCAAAACCTGTCAGTGACATCGCTTTAGGCTTTGCCAAACAAACATTGAACACCTGGATGGCAAGAAGATTTATGGACTTCTGGTAGAATCTTCCAGGATTGGCTCACTCCAAGGCGTTTACTCACCCTTCGAAGCTTGATACCCAAACAGTTGTTGGACTACAGTAGGGATGAACTACGATGTCTACCAGGCCTTCTTGCAGGTCACTGTCATTTGAATCATCATATGCAGAGACTCGGACTGTAGGGAGACAGTGTGTGTCGCCTCTATTTGGAAAATGATGAAACAGCAGAGCACATACTTTGTGCCTGCCCCGCTGGGGACCAAATCAGGTTTTTAGAGGTAGGCAGAGCCGTAATCTTACCATCTGACCTGAAAAACCACTCACCATACAAACTAATTGTCTTCGTTAAGAAGCTGGGTTTATTTGGTTGACTGTGAATAGGTGTGAGATACAATAAACCCTTGCAGGTTTCGGTGAAGAGTCCAATAAACCCACTCACTTTGGACCTAACCTATCCCTGATAAGTGGCAGTCTTTCTGTGTGTATATATATCTAAACATTTAGGAACACTCAACCTTCTTTCCCTTTTTATGGAAACTTTTACAGTTTTCAAAGACATTCATTTGAAAAAGTAGTATACAGTCCATCAGTCGATTTCTATTCTGGTTCAGCAAGTAAATCTGTACTGTCTTAAACTGCCGACAATACATATATGTTTCTCATCCATTAGAAGATTCTACTTGGATTTACAGACTTACAGACTGAATAGTTCTTCGATTTAAAAATCTACCTACATTTCAATTACATTGGAATTGTACTCACCAAGACAAGCCATTCTATGAAGATCTGTGTCGGAACTCAAAGCGTTTTCATAACGTTTCTGTAAAGCAGTTGCGGCCCTCTCCTGATCCGGTTCCTCCATTAAAACACACAGCTGCTTCAAAAAATCATCTTGGTCATGTTTCTGAAGACTGAAAACAAAAAACACTTGAATAATGTTTTTTTTTTAAATAATATAAAACATTTTATTGAAGCTGGTTGTCATTATTTTCAAAGTATATTTATAAATATTGATCCCCAATATCGATAAGTTCTTAAAGATAGAACTCGTTCAAAATTTTGAAAAAAATAATGGTAAAATGAGAGAAACGTTTTATTACTTACTATATTTTGTGATCTTCCATTTTTGTAACGAAGTCTTGTTCTTCGTGAGTTAAAAAAATATACGACGTTCCAGAATTTCCTGCTCGTCCAGTCCTGCCGACTCTGTGTAAGTAGTCCTCTATACTTTGTGGTCCGTTGTATTGAATTATACAGTCTGCACTGGGAACATCTATTCCTCTTGATACAACATCCTGACGAAGGAGAAAAATAACAGGTGACGTTTGAAGTAAGAATATGTTAAAACTAAAAGTGGATTACTGAAGGGACACTGATTGTCCAATACTCTGCGATTCGCCTGCAGAATTATCTTCAAGAGGCAATTTTGATAAATGAAAAGAATAACATTCAATATCCAGATATACTTTGGAAATATCATTAAAATATAATGAAAAAAGGGTCCGGTGGAACACCGCATAGATTGGTTTCAATCTGAAAGTAGAGATCAGTGTTCAACAACTTCCTTATAACTTTAAAATTGTTTTGGAATTGACAATACTATAAAAACATTGCTGGTAAACACAAAATCGAATAGAACACTTCCGTTAGTTCTAACTCTACTAGATTCAAGACTTTTTATTATAATCATTTGTGTACATTCATAGACCTGCTGGCCATGCATGATCTAGATGCTAGATTGGGTCTTTCATTAAGCGATTCTTATTGTGACAAATTAAAGAATTAACTGTCTTAAACAAATGTATTTCCAACAATATTTCACTAATCACAAACTAATTTATTTATTACACCATTTGAATTTCTTGTTTAGCCGCTCGATTCACTTTCTGAACTGCCCTCTTGGGTTGGGAAGACGTGCTTAAATCGGTAACGGTCATTTCTAGAAACCTGTAGTCGGTTCGGTACTAGAGTTTTACCGGCCATTCCCGACTGCATTCTTTCGCGGTGATGTCATGTGTTTGTTCTATGATTCGGCCGGCGTACTGGTCAGGGGCGGCTTCAGATTCGTTATAATATCTTTAAATTCAAATAAAACAAAGTGTGTGTGGCATATTATCGAAATTTTGTATTCGTTTGAAAGAACTATTGATTCCATTATGTGCGGGAAATAACATCGTTCAAAAAATATCCGGCACAGCTGCTCTGGGTGGAGCGCACCCGAAAAGTCCAATTTTCTGTGACTCTGGCGCACAAATCATACTGAATTTGACCGATGGCGGAGGTTATGTTGGCTTTGAGGACTGTGATTTGTGGCTTATTCGCATACACCTGTGACTTGAGAAAACCCCACAGGATAAAGTCTAACGGGGTCAAATAGCAATATCTTGGTAGCCAGTTCACATCACCTGCACGTGAGATGACCATGCTTCCAAATCGCTGGTGCAGTTGACAGTGATGGCCTGGCAAACGTCGTTCTCAAAGACGACCGATGACGCCGCCAACCCAAAATCCAGACCATTGGACGCTCATGTGGATTGGTATTCGACAATTTTGTTTGTTCACATACGACTCAAAAATCGTCAAGTTGATGCGATGCAAAATCGACTGCCTCGGATTCTCCTGCAGACTCTCACAGGTAGCGGCAATGTTTTCGATAGATCTTGCGTTTTGTCGACGTGTAGATCGATCGTTTACTGAATCAGTGGACCATATTTTATCCACCACATTGCGAATGGTCCTATCGGGAGGACGATTATGGCGACCGTAAAATGATTTTGATAAAACAATTCTATCATTTGCACGTGTTGTTGAATGGTATATTCGTCCATGGTGATTTGACAAAACAGACTGAATAAATGACAGCTAATTTGACAGATGTAGCTTCAACAAGATGGCCGTTATCAATTGTCAAAGTTCGAAAGACCCTATATAAATACCAAAATTTGAATTTCAGAAGGTCATTGTTGATTGAACAATTCCATATTTAAATCAGATTATAATGCTATTAATCATTCTCTAGATTCTAGTATATAATATACAGTGTGTAAAAGCCATATGGAATAAATTCATTATTTCGGTTACTGTATATATTAAAAAAAATCCCGAAACACGTCAAATGTAAATTATAATTTGACATTCTTAAACGTAAAAATGCCACCCCTACCTTCAACCCTCTTCGAATGACAGGTACGACCCCCAATTTTTTAAATGGGAAGTATAGGTTTGTGGAATATCGTTTGAAAGGTCTCTTCATTCTCTAGTAAAAAATGTTACCGCTTTCAAGTTCATTGCAACAATTAAGATAAAATAAATTAAAATCATGTGGTTACCAAAATTCGATAAAATACACTCAAAAACTAAAATGTAATGCAACACGTAATGAAATGTAGAATACAAAAAGGAACTATGGATGTTAACGACGTAGATGTTCAAAATGTTGCCCGCGAACGTCTTGGCAACATCCTAATCTGAAATAAAACTGTCTTCTAACATTATTTAATAAATCAGGCGTGACCGACCTAATCGCAAGTGTTATTCGTTCTTTTAGGTCATTCAAATCTGAAAGTTCAGTTTTGTACACATTGCTCTTTACATATCGCCATGAAAAGAAATCTAATGATGAAAGATCAGGTGATCGCGCTGGCCATTCAATCGATCCTAGCCTCGCTATCCACCGATTGGGAAATGTTGTATCGAGGACATTAACTTGGTGATATGTTGGTGCTCCATCTTGCTGAAACCATATCGTATTCACTGGAACATGAGGGTTTCCTGGATCAGGATATACATTTGCTAAACTTGGAATGATATCATTTTGAAGTAGTGCCAAATAATTATCGTCATTCAAGTTGCCGTCAATGAAAATGGGACCAATGAAATGGTTTCTTACAATCCCTGCCCAAACATTAACCTTTTGAGGGTATTGCGTGTATTCTCCTCTCATACAGTGAGGATTTTCAGTTGACCAGTAGCGGAAATTTTGCCGATTAGCATGACCGTTAAGAGACAAAGTACACTCGTTAGAAAACATAACGTCTTCTAATTGGATGATTTTGTTATCCAACACGTCCATCATTTGCTTACAAAAATAAGTTCTTCTATCAAAATCGTCTTCCATTAGTTCCTGAATAGGTAGCATTTTATACAAATGCATTTTATTTTCTTTTAATATGTTTACTATCGATGTATGGCTAACATTGAATGTAGTGGATGCCTGTCTATTCTATTTACGTGGGTTCTCCTCAAACTCAAGCATCACATCTTATTTGAGTTCATCACTCATTGCATTGGCAGATGCTTTTTTTATCTGTCTCACATGACCAAGCTCGCGAAACTGGTTCTCTATTTTGCGGATGGGCGGTAAATTAGGAAATTTCTCATGAAATAGGCGAGCTACTTCCTGTTGTATTCGGGTTTTATCTCCGTAACCAATCATTTGTAAAACGGTTATTTCATGCATTTCCGTTCATATAACCATTTGCCAGACTTGAAGTTAACGAACTTTAAAATATTGACAACTGATGTTATAACATACAAAACAAGTTGACAAGGCGTTTTAAACTAACGTTGCCACGGAAATTATTTACAGTTTTTTAAAGGATATCATCTAGAAAGAACATTGCTATGATATTTGCTTACTTTCTTATTATTAATATCTCAACATGAAATAAATTTTCAATATATTGCAATACGATTTGAGTGTATTTTATCGAATTTCGGTAACCACATGATTTTAATTAATTTTATCTTAATTGTTGCAATAAATTTGAAAGTTTTTTTGAATAGAGAATAAAGAAACCTTTCAAACGATACTTCACAAGCCTATTATACATACTTCCCATTTTGAAAATTGGGGATTGTACTTGTCATTCGACAGGGGTTGAAGGTAGGGGTAGCATTTTTCCGTTGAAGTATGTCAAATTATAATTTAAATTTGACGTGTTTCGGGATTTTGTTAAAATATGTACCGTAACCAAAATAATGAATTTTTTCCGTTTGGCTTTTACACACTGTATATGCTCGTCGTGGTACTAGCTGGAAATTAATAGTGTTATGGCAGGTATTTTCCAGACCCTACTGTGTAGGAATATTGGGAGAGGTACATTTTCCGAATTAAAGTTCGGAAAATCAGTCATCAGATCGATTTGAAAGTTGTTCAAGATGATAGATTCTTCAATCACGACCGTCTTCTTTTCAAGGAGAAAAAGTTGGCGGTGAGACCGTAAGCAATGAGACCGCAAGTTTTCGAACAGTAGTGGGAATCTTTAACATCTTCAAATAGTGAATGTGAAATCAGTGTGAGGTACCATTGAAGCCGGTTTCGTTAATTCGTCTGGGGGACGATTAGTCTTATTATTAGATTTCTTAAATGATCGTTGATATCCAACAACTTTGGCGGTAGTGAACAGTTGCGCTATGAATATAAGAAGGATAAAGAAGTATAAAAGAGTGGATTATTGTGTATCAAAATTATACTTCAAAGAATTTTTCACCTGTTCAAATTCCTATTCTGAACAAATCAATTTCAATCGACTTACTTCATCAGTATATCTGAAACCTTCAATTACACTAGTTTACAGCCAATTTACGACTGTAATGCCAAAGGAAGTTCTTTGTTAAGTTTTGGTCCCTAAATGCGAAAAAATTTAATGAACACGACATTCCAAATTAGTTTTTCCCTTAAATTGAGGAAATTGTTTAAAATCTGGCAATACAGCGGATGTGCCAGAAAAACACGGTCCTTATTTTTCCGAGAAGAACACCCCATTTAATCGAACAACCTGAATTAAATGACCTAGTTCGGGACCTCCACTTGTTCAATGAGAATGCCGAACTATTTGGATCTAAATTACAACAATGGAATTTACTAGTCCCTAAAACCAAAGTTACAATATTTAGGAATCCTAACCATGAGCTATCCTCGTTTTTTACTTTGCAGGATAAAATTTGTGTTTGTGTAAATCCAAATGATGTGATGGAAAAATTAGGATTTGTACATAACCCGGACGAATGGCGTTTATTTATAGATTCGTCTAAAACGAGTTTAAAAGGCGTTCTGCTCCATAATGGTAACAAAAGCCCCTCTATTCCTCTTGCACATGCCAGTTGCCATGAAGAAAACACACGAAAGTATGTCACTTATTCTAAATGCAATAAGTTATAAAACGTATAAGTAGCGAATATGTGGTGACCTAAAAGTCATAGGACTATTACTAGGTCTTCAGGGCGGATTTACGAAGTTTTGCTGTTTTCTTTGCCTTTGGAACAGTAGGGCAACATATAGCCATTATCAAGT